CCGTCCTTCACTGCCTCGTCGTTCTTTGAGGACTCGTCAGCTACAAACAGATTCATTCATTACACTGTATTTGGTAACATTACACAGAACATTCTTATTTACAGCAACCAGCCTGGTTGGCAGAATGTTCTGAAATACGAGTGTGTGCTTGTTGCTTCAAATGCACAAAAGGTCAAGTTGTCTGTGTTACCTGGCGCAGGTGTGTTGGGCTGTGTGTCAGCGGGGGTGCCTGTGGATGGGGTTTTCCCGGGGGAGTCAGGCTGAGCGGCAGCCCTCTTGTTCTCCTCCAGTTCAGCCATCCATGGCATTGACCACTGACCATTGACATGCTCGAACTCTTGGACCTGGGACACGCAAAGAGCACAGATTTCTTACACTGTAACGTCTCATGGCTAATACAAAAATAGTAAGTGTTAGTGTTATGGTGAGTATATTCCAAAAAAGGGAACATTTGACAGAAGAACTGAAAATATTCTTTGGCAACCATCAGAAAATAGAAGAAACTGTCTCACTGTTTGTCTGCACCCTCAAATTATATTTACACTGATAACTTTCATTTTTGAAAAATGCTTGTTTTGTCTGAATAATAATGGAAAAATCCAAAAATCATTCAATTTACAATTATATAAAACAGAAAAATCAACAAATCTTCACCTGATAGAATCAGCTTTTAAACAACGATTAATAAACCATCAACATTTTACCTTTCTGTTCACTGACTAATCGATCAATCCGCCATCACCTCCAAGAACTAACATCCTCTAAACTAGTGATGACAGAACATCAGGCTGATTCGTGTTCTTCATGTCATCGCTCTCGCTGCGTTTGTTACCTTCTTGCGAATAAGGGACATAACACCGATGCGGGTGAGGACGTGCTGTCGGGACAACCCTTCCCTTGGGACGCCATCAGCAAAAGTATCAGCACCATCAGCTCCGGGCTCACAGAGGTGCCGCATGAACAGAGAAACATACGCCCTGAAAGAGAAAGAATTAATGAGGAGAGAAGTACAAAGTAACTGGTTCGTTCCGATATGTCAAAAATAAAAGCTTTGTTAAACGTAAACATCAGAGCAGAATCATGCTCATCCAACACCTTACAGCTGTTCATAACCAGTCAGATATCTGCAGACAGCAGCCATAAAAACAAAACTACAACAAAACAGATCAGTAATTATACGTCACCATCCGCCACAGACATTCAGCCACTCTGTATTTTCTCAGAGACGTAGCGGCGTTTCTTACTTGAACTCTTTCTCAGATTTCCCTCGCAGGTCTCGGACCAGCCATTGGGTGGTGAATGCATCTTGTGGAGGCATCCCATAACGCATCACTGCATTTAGGAAGGCCTTCCTCTGCCGAGAGTTGAAGCCCAACACCTGGGAAGCAGCAAAGGATCAAGGGTCAGCTTTTATCCACAGGAAACACTTATGTACGTGAACTTTATTCCATTATTACAGATGGAGAATATTTTCAGTTACATTAACAAAATGCTGAAACGGGTTTGGCCAAGTCAGTGCAGCTGGTTAACAAGGGGATGAAGGGCGAAGACACTCACCTCAATGTTGCCTCCCACCCTGGCCAGCAAGGGGGGCAGTGGTTTGTCTTTATCGTTCCTCAGGCCCTTCCTGTTCGGCCTGCGAGAGTTGGCTGCGGAGAGACAACAGAGGTGGTGACGCTGTGCAGGGAGGCAGGTGAATACTGTCCTTCAACACATCCATCTTATGTCCATGGTTCTGCTCAGCGCTACTACACCTGCTACTGTTTACTTTACTGGGCCACATATTTGCATGTAATTAAGCTTTTTTACTCTGGGAGTATCAAAAGAATCTTCTGTCCTAGCTAAAGTCAAAGTCAACTAGATTACACCTTTTATACACAGATAGGTTCAACGTATCACAGTACAGTCAAAGTAATTCAATCAGGCACTTTCATATGAACACTGCAGTGTAAACTAATTGGTTAATCACAGTTTGTAGTTTGTAGGCTGAAAATAACTCTGGTGCTAAACCTAACGTATGCGTTATCAGCTAAAGCATGACATTGACACAGCAGATTTTTAATGTTCAATGTGCTCTACCTCTTTACACGACACATAGAATGATTCTTACCTTCTGATCGCTCATCAAAGTCCTCATCTCCTTCCTCAGATGCCACAGAGTAATCTGATTGGCCGTCAGACTGGTCATCCTGCCAATCAGCTATGAGACAAACAAACAAACAAAAAATCAACGCACAGTTCAATAAGAGTTCAACAAGGTAAGCTAAAACACAGCAGCATCACTGTATGACTTAGGCAGCTAAAGCATGTTCTTCCTAGCTCAACAGACTAGATGACAGCAGTTTTGTGCTGTGCATTATGGGTAGAAGTAGAATGTGGGACAAACTGCATAACCTTCCTAATGCAACTGTAGTTTAGTGTGATAAACTCTGTAATAAAAATTTCACATCAAGCCACAAAAAAGTCTGAAAAGCTGGAAAACTAAATTAATTGCATCCTTTCTTTACATTCTCACTCCTCAGACACCAGTTTGCTAAAAGACATTATTTCACCAGCTCAGTTAAGGATTCGCCAATCAACAGGCCACCAACAGTCATAACACATTACCACATGTCTACAAGTCGGTATCACACCTTGAACATTTTGAGCACAAAATGCTTCATCCACACCTCTCCAGTAACGAAGGTTAGTCATTAATAACTGGTCAGATCCTTTTTCTTTATGGCTTTACTTATCCTTTGATTGCATGTTTTTGACTTAAGTTCATGGGACAGTTCACACAGATCTGCTTCTGTTTTAAGACCATAAACACTGAAGAGGTTTTGCTCAGTTTGTCAAATTTAAAAAAAAAAAGATTTTTCATAGATAAAGATATTTTAAGTAATTATCACTAATTTCAGCTTTGTAATGAAAACTTGTCTTAGCACTGGCAATGAGGAAAAATATCATCCAAGTGCAGCAAAGTTTAGAAACAAAGCCTTAAAAAATAAATAAATAAATAAATAAATAAAAAATCCTCCAGAAATCCATAATCCACAAACACCGTGACTGGAAGGATGATTGTAACCTTCAGTCACCCAGGGAAAGGGAGGGGGATAAATTCCTGAGTTCTGCTTTTTCATCACAAAGCTTTTTCAACTGCCTTTAAAACCAACTTCTCAGTGCCAACTGTAAGAAAGCTGTAAAAATCATCTCTTCCCTCGTCTCACCTCTGTCTTCTTGTGAGCCGTCATTGTAGTTGACCTGTTTTCGGATGCGTTTGCCTTTGCCCAGGTTGCGGGCGAGATCCTCCTGCTGCTGCTCGTAATGGTGACGCAGCAGCTTCTCCCAGTAGTCTGGATCCACACTCTCCTCCTGCTTGATGATCTCCCGCTGCACCTCCTCTTCCTGACCGATGGAGAAATGAGGGCAGAAGGGACAAGGAGATGAGGTGAGGAGAAAGGGAACACAAAGGGGGCACGAGTTGAAAAGAAGGCATTTGGAAAGGAAGGAAATGTATTTATCCACAAATGTGTTACCAAAACCTTCCCTCCACACCACACACAGGCACTCACCTCCTCATCCTCATCTTTGACCACATACTGAGCCACCTTGAAGGAGCTCAGGTACTCGTTCATGCTCTGCAGCTCCGTATCGTCTGTGGCATCCTGGTTCCTGTCCAGCAAGCGGTCGATGGCGTGGTCATCGTAGTGGATGATGCTGCTGTCCTCCTCTTTATTCTCACCTGACGACACCCAAACATCAGTCACATATCTCACTAGATCTGTCCAGTGTGGCTCTCTGCCCCTGCAGATCTGTATTTTAATTACCCGCACCTTCTCCCTCATCCTTGAAGAGCTCCTCTGTCCCAAACTTGAGGATGTCGTCCAATTCCTGTTTGGACATGGAGCCTGTCTTGGACCCAAGACCAGGTCGAACCACCAGGTGAGTCAGCATCATCTTCTTCTTGGCAACCTGGACACAAGAGAAAGATTGAGGGAGGACAGAGGATAATTTGTTAATAAGGCTGAGCAGAAAATTAGTAATGGAACAGGTCTGTCTGAATCATTCATGCCCCTCAATTATAAAACCAGCAGCCAGATCCAAACTGGCCATGAATGATGTCACCATGTTAAATCACTGACTACTGAAACGATCCCGTATACCTGAGTAATCCTCTCCTCCACAGAGGCCTTGGTGACAAATCGGTAGATCATCACCTTCTTGTTCTGACCGATACGATGAGCTCTACTGAAGGCCTGGATACAGACAGGAACAGACCAGAAAAATTTTAACAAGGGAAAGAAGGTGTTTCTCCAAGCTTTTCATGCAAAAATAGAAGTAGCAGCAGTACTCATTCTGTACCTGGATGTCATTGTGAGGATTCCAGTCTGAGTCGTAGATTATGACCGTGTCGGCAGTGGCCAGGTTGATACCCAGACCTCCAGCTCTTGTCGACAGCAGGAAGGCAAATTGCTGGGCACCAGGAGCTGAGGAGGGAGAACAAAGGTCCATTTATAGACTGTATACATTAAATCAAGTAAAAATTACCTTAGGTGGCACACTGTCAAGGTAAGAGTTGACGTTTTCATTTTTATATGAAGGTTGCTGAAATAAACAAAAATACAGTAGGGGATAGAAGATGAAGTAATCAGTAAAAATAAGAAAGAAGGTGCAGTTTGAACACTCCATCTCACCGTTGAAACGATCAATAGCTTCCTGTCTCATCCCTCCTGTGATTCCTCCATCAATCCTCTCGTACTTGTAGCCCTCGTGTTCCAGGAAGTCCTCCAGCAGGTCCAACATCTTAGTCATCTGCAGCAAAACACAGAGATGATTTGCCAGGGAAGCTGATGAGATTTCCTGTTTTTAAAATTCACTTGTTCAATTCAGTTCATCTTGCTCCATTTCCAGTTGAAAAAAAAACCCCACAGATAGAAACTGTTTGTCTGACAGAGGCTAATAACTTCAAAGTGAAAAAGCAGAACACAAGAAAAAGAAACTGGTAAAAGGGATTATTTACATATGTGTCATCACCGTTTTGGAGTTCTGAATACAAACATCCAACACCAGCCCAGTATGGAACATGCTGAGGCATCATCTCACTGGTCATATATCGGTGTCCTACCTGAGAGAAGATGAGCACTCTGTGTCCTCCCTCCTTCAGCTTCCTCATCATCTTCTGCAGTAACAGCAGTTTCCCAGCAGCCTTTGTGAGTGCACTGCCATCATACATCCCATTGGGCATCTTTGGAGCTTCCTGTTTTGAGTGACCAATCAAATATTACTGTTTTGTGAACCCAAGAATCCAACGAATTTGTTTTAGTTCTTCTTTTAACTTTTTTTAAACTAGACATTTTCCCCTGCATGAATGTAAATGGTCAGCACTGAAATAAACTCTAAATTCAACACTACAATCTCTTTTTCTAGAATAAATAATGCTCCCTGATGTTTGGATCGCACCATAGCAGCCGTGGGGAAGAGGTAGGGGTGATTGCAGCATTTCTTGAGGTCCATGACGACATTGAGCAGAGAAACCTGGTTTCCTCCTCCTTTGGTGTTGAGGGCCTCAAAGTTTTTCGTTAAGATAAATTTGTAGTACTTCCTGCAAACAGAAGATATAAACATTTTTCTTTTTATACTGCCATGTTTTCAAACTTGCTTCTCCATTTGTACAAAACTCTAGGGCCTCGACTAATGATTCAACTAGTCAACTTTCAGAAAAACTAATGTTTCTGAGGGATAGCCATCATTTAAAAACAGCAGCTGCTGTAGCCCTCCCCCACTTCAGACTCACTTCTGTATGGGGCTGAGCTCCACTCTGACAATGAGCTCAGTCTTGGAGGGCATGTGCTTGAAGACATCAGCCTTCAGCCTCCTGAGCATGTGTGGACCCAGCATGTCATGTAGCTTCTTGATCTGGTCCTCCTTTGCAATATCAGCAAACTCCTCCAGGAAGACCTCCAGGTTACTGCAGACAGACAGGTGACATTGTCCTGCTAGGTCACACTGCTGATAGCAACCACGTGAAGCAGCTGCTGGGAATGATTTTATTATGACGATGTGGACTGCAAGCTGCTAGTTTCCTACTGCTGATTTTTTTAAGTGGATTTATTCAACAACATTAAAACTGGTACATCAGCAAACAAAGTGGGTTTATTCAACATTAAAACTGGTACATCAGCAAACATGACATTTTAAGACTAAACAGCACAATGATGCCTTTTGTTTTTTCCAATCTGTTTGATGGAATATTCTGACATTAAAAGCCTCAAAAACATCATGAAGGAAGCTTGCTAAATGCAGACCCCTCACTGATTCTCAATCCTGTTCACACATGACTACTATATGCCAAAAGGAAAGCCCCCAGAAAGGATGTTTTGTAATAGAGGAACACTTCATTCATTAGAGTCCGGAGCCTACCTGAACCTCTCAGGTGTGAGGAAGTTGAGTAGGTGGAAAAGCTCCTCCAGGTTGTTCTGCAGAGGAGTTCCAGTGAGCAGCAGTTTGTGCTGCAGAGGGTAGTTGTTCAACACCCGGAAAAACTACAGCAGAAGAAATAGAGAAAATCAGGTTTAAAGCCGTTTCAGATTGAGTAAAATATATAAACAATCTCTTTTAGGAAGTGTTGGAACAAAAATAAACTAAGCATTAATGAAACTGTCTATCAGTACCTTGGACTGGTTGTTCTTCAGCCGGTGGGCCTCATCCACCACCAGGCAGGCCCAGTCTACGGAGCCCAGGACGGCCATGTCGATGGTGATCAGCTCATAAGAGGTCAGCAGGACGTGAAATTTGACCGACGAGTCTTTCTGTTGAAGATAGTCAACATAAAAGATGTTACAACTGGGAGTTTTAACCCAATTCCCAGCTGATCTATCCAGTAATGAATTGCACCTGTTAACTGTTTTTCCTTTCCTGTCATCATTCACCACTGTCACATCTCACCTTCATCCTGGAGGCCTTCTTCCCTCCTCGGATGGCGTTGTCCTCGAAGGAGAACTCGTTCTCTCTGATGACTGCTCTGCTGTCTTTGTCTCCAATATAGGTCACCACGTACATATCAGGGGCCCACATTTCAAACTCTCTCTCCCAGTTGATGATGGTGGAGAGCGGGGCACTAACCAGGAACGGCCCCTTGGAGTGACCCTGGAGGGGGCAGAGGAAGCCAGCATAACATGGCCAAGTGGTTCAGTCTATGAACTGGATGTTTCACACTTAAACCAAGTTTCTGCACATACACTCTTAAGAAATTGATTACTGACTGAAACAACTATCAAAACTGTGGCCATTTTCTGTCAATCAGCTAAGTGGTTAATTTACTCATCATTTCAGCTCAATCTTTGTTTTTAAAGAACAAAAAAGATAAACTCTTGACAAACATCCCGATGCTGTGTCATGAATTCATGTCATCTTGAACACAAAATCTCCCAATTCTGAACTTGAGCTACATAAAAAAATAAATAAATAAAATAAAACAAATGGTCAGACTGGGATATAAGCATTTTCAGTCTGAAAAGATTTTTTTTCTAAGTTATCAAAATCATCAGACTCAGTAGAAAAAAAAAACTGCTGTCAATCAGATCTGACAAAGTGTTTTCTGGCCTCCCACCTTCAGGTGGCAGCACTGCACACATGAGCAGCATCAGTGAATGTTTACTGTTTGAGATCCAACTTAATGTAGTCAGATTTCACCGACTTGTACAAAATGGCTGGATGGCTCCTGGCCAACAGGACGACAGCTTCACTGTCAGACAAAGGCTCAACCACTACTACTGGACCAAAACTGTATTAAAAAGGTCAGACAAATGTGTTTAAGCTAAATAAGAAACTGATTTAATAAAAACAACAGAAAAGATCAACTTAAAAGGCTTCAACTTTACATGCTGAGCTCATGTTTCCAACAAGCTGGTTGAGAAGAAACGTATCCAAAGCATTTTACCATAAAACCCATATACAGTTTCAGTGTGTGTGGCCCCAGAGGGCATGTAACATCTTTACCAAAGACAAACACAGCCCAATTTTTGGCACCCACCTCTTTATAGAGCGAGTAGAGGAAGACGGCAGTCTGGACGGTCTTTCCCAAACCCATCTCATCGGCCAGGATGGTGTCAGTGCCCTGAGCCCAGGAGAACCGCAGCCAGTTGAGTCCCTCCAGCTGGTAGGGGTGCAGCGTTCCCCCCGTGCTGTCCAGGTAGTCTGGCTGACGCTCGAACTTTATAGTTGGCTAGGAACAAAAGTAAAGAAGAGAAGTGGGTTGATTCTAAGTGTAGGGGTGTTGCAAAAAGAGATGCATGTAGACAAATTATGTACACAGCTTTTTGTAAAAACTGAAAATTGTTTTGATCTTAAAAGTAAATTTAGACATTCATTTGGATCTTACTCCAGTAGCTGTGTTAGGGTGATGTTTATTTTTTAGATAGAAATGAATAAAATTAGTTAGGGTTTTTATTATATAGCATACATAAGTCTATATACTTTAATCTCACAGTTGTGTTTATGTTTATGTAGTTACATATCACCCTATGTGTTCACTGAATCACTGGTCAGTATTTACTGTGTTAGCCAACTGGAGCACTGTTTATCATCAAGGGGACTGGTTCACTAAAACACTGAATCTCATTAGATTTACAAAAGTGAGAAAGGGGAGCCACTTCAAAAGACAAGGCAATATACACACACACAGGCAGAGCAGCTTTATTGGAACAGGGGGGTAGTGCCTAAAGTTTTTTGGTAACAAAGGAAGACATAAGCGTCTATCTAGGAATTAAGACAGGGCAGGTACTCCTCCCCTTTTAGGGCGCTGTCCACCACCATTGGAGCAGAGAGGATGACTGGAGGATGGACGGACTGAAGGACCAATCTTGGGAGAGTTGGGTTTAAACCACGACTTCTCCCCAACAGTTTTGGACCAATCAGATAGTAACATCTTTTCATACAAATATTGTATACCAGCAAGTTGAGG